TATGCTCAGTTGAGGTCTCGCTTTGAGAGACGCATGTATACACAATCATGATGACATAACTGTGTAGCGACATCTTTCCCATAAGAGCGTGATGGGGAAGATATTCTAGAGTGCAAACAGAGGAAATCTCATTATCATTGCTTGGATGACATCATGAACGCACACACACGCACGCACGCACGCACGCACGCACACACACACACACACACACACACACACACACTCACACACACACACACACACACAGCAGTGAAGGAAGCCTACAGGTTAAAAAAGACGAAAGAGAACATTTGATCAATTTTGCCAACAATAGGCGCCGGGGTGGCAGAATGACAATGACGTGCACTGAAGGCCTTCAAAGTCTGAGGCCGAGACACGAAAAAATGCACTGACCTACATTCATAACTTCCATAAAATTGTATTAACTTAGTCCCAACAGTTTGGCTCCGGCATGCCAGTGACCCTCGTGTGGGTAAGTGGATCGAACAATGGATGGATGTCCGTCTGTCAGTGAGCAAGCAAAAGTGCTTGAAGTCAATTTACAATAGTAAATACTGTACATTAAAAAAAATAGTGGGAATGGAAACAAAATGTGACCAACTTTATGACTAGATACAATACGCAACAGAACTTTTGAGATGGCGAATGTGGTCATCATCTGAAGTGACTTGAAAGAAGAAAGGAGCAAAACATCCGAATGTATGTTGTCGCCGAACACTTTTTCATCAAATGTTTGGCAATAACCATCATACACCACAAACAATGATCCCAAAACACTGATATCATTTCAAAGTGACCTCACTATCTCAATATAAATTACTAATTGGACAAACAAAGCTTGCCTTTCAGTCATGATGCGTCGCGTCAAAATAATTCCTGCACATGTTCTTATTCAGACGGGGCTTTTGGTGGCATCTCAGAGAGCGCACAAAAATTGTCAACAGGTGAGTTTTTCACCAAAAATAAGGGGGATAGGTTACACAGAAAAACAAATGTAAACATGATACTTCATGAATAGTTTCCCACAAATATGAATGTCGTAAAAGGCTGCCAATTATGCATGATCCTACGTCCATGAAATACGTCGGACACATGCTATGAAGATACCTGGGAAGTCGTACATCGTGAAAAATGCACAATGTCTCCTTTAAAACTCTCTCTCTCTCTCACACACTCACAGTCCCCACTTCTGCAGGTCAAGGGTCATCAAGAGCGGAAAAGTAAAGGGCCAAGTGATTGTTTCCTTTCAGTTGTTCAGCCCATCCTGTCTTCCGTGCGCATGTATGAAATGTTACAAGCCTCACAGCCTCGACAATAAGCATGCAACAAGATGAACTTTGACCCCAACCCCCCTGGAACATATGCTCAGTTGAGGTCTCGCTTTGAGAGACGCATGTATACACAATCATGATGACATAACTGTGTAGCGACATCTTTCCCATAAGAGCGTGATGGGGAAGATATTCTAGAGTGCAAACAGAGGAAATCTCATTATCATTGCTTGGATGACATCATGAACGCACACACACGCACGCACGCACGCACGCACACACACACACACACACACACACACACACACACTCACACACACACACACACACACAGCAGTGAAGGAAGCCTACAGGTTAAAAAAGACGAAAGAGAACATTTGATCAATTTTGCCAACAATAGGCGCCGGGGTGGCAGAATGACAATGACGTGCACTGAAGGCCTTCAAAGTCTGAGGCCGAGACACGAAAAAATGCACTGACCTACATTCATAACTTCCATAAAATTGTATTAACTTAGTCCCAACAGTTTGGCTCCGGCATGCCAGTGACCCTCGTGTGGGTAAGTGGATCGAACAATGGATGGATGTCCGTCTGTCAGTGAGCAAGCAAAAGTGCTTGAAGTCAATTTACAATAGTAAATACTGTACATTAAAAAAAATAGTGGGAATGGAAACAAAATGTGACCAACTTTATGACTAGATACAATACGCAACAGAACTTTTGAGATGGCGAATGTGGTCATCATCTGAAGTGACTTGAAAGAAGAAAGGAGCAAAACATCCGAATGTATGTTGTCGCCGAACACTTTTTCATTCTACACCCGACTACATTAAGAAACGGGATTGAAATGTTTTGTCATAAATAAAAAAAATTCGGACCAATCGAGTGAAATTGGATAACTTCTCACAGCGCATGCGATGATCTCTGAGCGGCCACAATCAACAACGGCCCGCCAACACATGGATAAATCCTTATCGGGCTCATTATTGTTATTTCACTGATCAGTCAGAGAAACTTCACTGAATGATTGTGTGTGCCAATGCAAATTGAATTTACCCTTCAGGACTATCATCAGTATAATACATGTTGAAACACTTTGTTTTTTTCTTCCCTCCCCCCAATTTTGCTGCTGTAGACTGCAAATTTCCCCAGTGTGGGACAAATAAAGGTTATCTTACTTACTTACTTAAAACAAGTGAAAAAAATGATGATGAACGATTGACACGTAACAGTAAACAGTGACCATACTCAGGGGTGAACATGAGTGGTGCGCAAATGCACTTGAATACTGAAAATAGTCACGTCCGCGCCAGTTGCCCCAGTGCGCAGTTCGTTCGAAGCGTGTTGCAGCCACACGCCTGCGATTGCAGCTCAGTGACCACAGTCGAAACGTTCGAGTCAAGTTAGCAGCCACAACAATTGCTTCCTTGAACAGCTTCGCAATCAAAGGCTGGCTGGCATGGCGGCGTGTTGCATGGAATGAAAAACCGTAATGGCGGCTAGTTTGACTTTGCTGGCGATCACGGCCCCGAAACTGTGGCAGGGAGCCTGCCGAGCGTCTTCCTCGGTCCGTCAAAACACGTAAAAGCGGTCTACAAAAAATATCGGGCACCGGACCGATGCCATTAACAGGGTTCCCACTCTTCCACTTGCTTTTTATTTATGGACCATTTAAGGACTTTTGAGGGCTAATTTAGCCATTTTTAAGGACTTTTTCGCCATTCAGCAGGGGATTCACGGTGGATTTCATGCCGCTCAGTAATATGCGCGTTGAACAGAAAGCCACACATCACTGAGCTGGTGTTCAAATCATTGCTGCCAAAGGAAGGGCACATTTTTATTTTTAGGGGCAATCAGCTCACCCTTTATTTGACATACTGGATGTCAAATTTTCATTTTCCGACCTGTATTACAGGAAATGAACAAAAAAAAACTCAAATAATGTACCCGAAGAAAAATGTAAATTTAGAAAATATAAAACTTCCAATTTATTTCCAAATAAAACTACATTTTAAGGATTTTTTTTTTTAATTTTAGAAGCTTTCCCTGAAAATTAAGAACAATTAAGAACATCATTACAAATTATTATTTTTATTATTAATCAATCACGTAAAAATGACGTATTTCCAAATATTAACGTGATATGACAATTTGATAAACATTCACACACAGGGACAGCTAATTTAGCGATTTTTTAAAAGGACTTTTTCTCCATTCAGCAGGGAATTAAGGTGGATTTCATGAACAAAAAGCCACATATCACTGAGCTGGTGTTCAAATCGTTGCTGCCATAGGAAGGGCACATCTTTATTTTTAGGGGCAATCAGCTCACCCTTTATTTGACATACTGGATGTCAAATTTTCATTTTCCGACCTGTATTACAGGAAATGAACAAAAAAAAAAACCTCAAATAATGTACCAGAAGAAAAATGTAAATTTAGAAAATATAAAACTTCAATTTATTTCCAAATAAAAATACATTAAGGATTTTTTTTTAATTTTAGAAGCTTTCCCTGTAAATTAAGAACAATGAAGAACATCATTACAAATTATAATTATTATTAGTAATAATCACATAAAAATGACGTATTTCCAAATATTAACATGATATCACAATTTGATAAACATTCACACACAGGGACAAACTCTTCCCTCAAATGTGCAGGAAATAAATTCGCTGTTCACATGAGGACCACACTTGTTTATTTATATTAAAAAAATAAAAGTTGTTCAAATGGTCAGAGAAGTGCTGCCGAGACTGTGGATAGGCCAGCTGTGGCCCACGGGCCTTATGTTGACCAAATGTCCTGTTAATCTCTCCGTTCAACCATGAGGTCGGTGGGTCGAGGAAAAAAAGCGAGCATCAAACAGCGACCGTTGGTGCGCCTCTGAGAAACACACCGACATTTTTAGGTGCAACGCTGACAATCCGATCATTTATTATTCCAAACTAAGCAACATGGTGACACCGTGCATCTTACAACAAGTTTCCACCAAAGGCCATCCGTTCATGGATCAACAGAAATGACTTTCCCTCGAGCTCAATTGATCATTGATGGTGACGTCAGATGTGATCAGTCACTTTATCGATGATCACCAAGTGGACTCACTTATCGATTTATTGATTGATCTATTGGATGATCAGAGGCTCCTTTCACGGGGCAATTCGCTTTCATTCAACACTTCAATCCGATGTGACGTGACTTTATCGATCGCTGATAAGGCGCAACACTCCCCTCCCCTCCAGTCGCACATGGAGGTGGAATGACAAACATGGACCAAGCCTTGGACTCCACCCCCAACCCCTCGACCCCCCTTTGTTCTTTAATGGATCAGTGTCTGGAGTCCCTCTGCTTGGAGGACACCCCTCGCTCACCGAACACACACACACACACACACACACACACACACACACACACACGCACACACACACACACACACACACACACACACCTACGGACAATTCAGAGTGTTCAATCAGCCTGCTATGCATGTTTTTGGAATGTGGAAACCGGAGTACCCGGAGAAAACCCACGCAGGCCCGG